GTGATCAAATGGGTGATCCCACTTGTTCGTTGCTTCACTGCTCCACCCACCACAACACGACAACAACAAAACCAAAAAACTTATGAAAACAAAAAATAATAATAATAATGACAATAWTAATAACCCCAACCCTTTTACAATTGGTTGACTTGTAAAGATTTGAAACATTGTCTCCATACAGAAATCTGTCGCCGACACACCCCAGCATGATGTCCATCACACCCGTGCGCCTACCAGGGGCGCGTATGCCCCTCCGCACACCGATGCCCCGTGAATACGGTAAGTTGGGCAAATACGCCAATAAGTGAACCAATCGATTATTCTCATCAAGTATACCAAGAATATCTGAGTGTATATATACTTAACGAGCCCGCACATGTGTGTGTGTGGCTCCCAAATAAGAGAAAACTAGAAAAACTGATCGGAAGATCGCAGGAGGAACATTTGACTTTAGATCCGTAGTAATTCGAATACAAACGAGCGTAATCTTTGAGTGTACCTTATTTAATAGGTTATATTTAGTTAAATCTTAGATAAATGTATTTGCTCTACTAAGCCACAGCGAAAAACTAACAACTAAAGTTGTTGAACTAAAACTAGCCAGATACATCTAATTGGTCTGCAGCTTACATCTTTAAGTTATCATATCCAATGCCAATATTTGGTTTTTCATTCAACACCTTTTATTGTTTTTATCGTCTCTCTCATTTTAGTTAGTTATTTTAAGGTTAGAAAGCGCGATGCCCACTAACTTGTACGCTCGTGCCCCTAAATACTTCTACTACTCTACTACTACTTCTACACATACACACACACACACATACACACACACTCACACAAAATGCCTTAGCACCCACCCGCAGTCTAGTATCCAGCTAGATTGAGACTAACCAATTGATAATTGAGATATTGATTTAACCAATTTGCGCACACACATAACCAAACTTTGATTGAACATAACCTCTTCATTTGTTTTCACTCAGCTATACGTAAATATTTCATATTTGCAAGTTTTGTATGTTAATGCTCTTCCTCTTTCTCTTTCTCTCTGTTCATTTTCATTGTTTGCATGCCTGATTCTTTTCGCTGTTGTCATACGTTCATTCCATATATATATACATACATATATATATTTATTTATTTTTTTCTTTATCTTCGGCTCTCCTTCTCCTACATCTTCAAGATGCTGTACTCTCTGACAACAACAACTATAACTTACTAATACCACTACACATAGTTAGACTTAACCTCTAAACGTTGTTCATAGCTGTGTTTATCATAATTAAACGTTGCCATTGTGTTCTCTGTGTAGCGAATGTTAAGCACCCTGTATACTGTTTGATGTTTTATCACCGGTAAGTAACCCAAGCCATCAATCTACTTATACCAACAACATCTATATTGTATGTGTATGTGTGTCTGCCACGCCCACCATACCCAACATACCGTCCATCCATCCCATTCAGCGTTCAGAACGCGCCTAATTCGAGTTCCAAATTGGTCAAGCGCAGCTAAGACAGGCTCTCTTCTATCCCCCATTCGATACAAACATACTACGTATACATACACGCATTCTCCAATGTCACGGATACACGCCAAACACACGCATACAACGCCTCGTAACACACGAATTGTTCCGTAATTAACCTTTAACCGTAATCCTATTCCCACAAATCCACATGTTTTGCGAAATTCTAGACTACGATTATGATTATTTTGGCTATTCAGAATTTCGTCCTGGCTTCGGTGCTGATACGTACTACGATGACGTTTATCGTGCCTATGAAGGCGAATATAGCTATTATGATTATCCGAACGCCGCCAGCGGCAATGGAGCTGCCGGTGGTGGCATCAACGGCGCTGCTGTGGCCATGTCAAACAATTCGGGCGGCGGTTCCGTCCCGCTGAGCCCCTCACAGCGCCCATCAAGATCCCAGCAAGGTGGCTCAGCCAATTCGCCAGTGATTATGGTGCGTGTTTTTGTCCTACTTTGCCGCAGACTCGCAGCTACAGTAGTCGCAACAAACAACAGTCACACACGACGCACACAGAAACACAATTGTTGTACTGTACTTCTGTAGAGTTTTTGAAAATACGTAATGTAGTTTGGATGTAATTGGATATTTATTCGGCTTTATTTGATTTCTCGATATCGAGTCGCTGACCTAGCAGCCCTCAGCTCTCATTGAGGCCGATTGTTTAATTTTGTTTTGTTTTCAGCTTCATTGCCTATTAATTTGTTGTAAGACGGAAAACTAATTTCGACAACTTTTTATTTTCGTTTACAAATGTCAAAATTTGCATGCTAAATGCTGCCAACTGCATAAACACGACACCGCGCAGCACAACATCATTCCACACACACAAAACACGATCCACAGCCACTGCACACCACAACATACCACACCACCACCCACAACAGCTCACAGACGCTAACGACATCTTTTGGCCAATATTTGAGCAATGGAAACAAATTATTATGCTTTAATATGCAACGCTTTGCTTTACGTCCTGGAAACTAACAAATCGAACCACAACTAAATTGTAATTCCCTGCGCTTATTATGCTTTATCTGAAATGTGCTTTACTGCATTTAATGCTTATTTATCGCAACGCTTATTAATTTATATTTTTATTTTAATCATCGTGCTTTTTAAAATTTGTTTTATTCATATAATTAGTTTTAATGCCTTTATTTAAAAAAAAAAAAAAAAAAAAAAAAAAAAAAAATTAAAAATTAAACAAATATGTAGCCTACTTTTAAGAAATGCCCATTGCTTTACTTAACGCTTATTATTTAATATTTTGAATTATGTAAATTTAGTAAAAATTTGAATATTGTGTCCATCGCAAGCAACAGAAAGTCATACAAACAAATTTTGATAGAGCTTAAGCTCGATTCGTTAATAGATACCGAAAATCTTGCGCTGTGATTTGTTCTTATGAATACAATTCCTAAATTATATATTAGAGGCAGTAAAATTTGCATTTGTTGCTCAATTCGAGCGATACTCAGTACACAGACAAAACACCAGAGACAACAACACAAATATTAAAATATATATTAGCATTTTTTCTTATCAATCAAACGTAATTTTCATATACATAATATATTTAATTCATATAAACAWTAATAATATATACATACTTTTATTATTGTATGTAAATACAAGAATCTAACGCGTTTATTTCGATTTTTCTTTTCTTTCTTTTCTTTTTATATATGTTCTTGTTATACTCTTATATACAAAACAAATCATTTGTTTTTCGGTAACAAACAAAATTTGAAAACTTTGCAAACCAAAAAAAAAAAAAAATTATATATATGTTCGTCAAACTACAAAATTCCTAAACAAAAATTCTCTACCAAAAACCTGAAAACCTAAAATTAATACAACCAAACAAACAACCAACGACCAAATCATAAACAAATCTATCTATCGATCAACTTTTCGATTCAAAAACCAAAACCGAAAAAAAAACAACAAAATTGTTATCAACCCAAAATACCCGCTATTTAATGATTTGCCCAACCGTCTTTCCTCTCTAAAAACTAAATTCGAAATTTGCAACTGCATTCGACGTCAAAATTTTGAATCCAATTGTATTTTATTATAATTTGATATGACCAAAATTCATTATCTTGGCGATCCATATATATTATATATAT